TGCATGGAAAGCTTGTTAGCTCAGTCATTTTTTGGACACTGGCATGAAGACTCACCTGTGCTTATGTTGACAGCTGCTGCATGAGGAGGCACTACAAAGTTCTCTTCTAATCTTCGAGAAGCTGGATTCCTGAGAGGTTATGTTTTTCTGATTTGTTGTCACTGTATCATTTTCAGGAATAAAGTTTCAAATTTCTGAGAGTTTTTCTCAGCTATGAGCTATTCTAGATTGTAGAAGGCTGCACATAAATAATGTAAAGACTCTTTTAGGCGGCTCTGCTGGATAGGAAATGCAGTCTCTTCACAGACAGTCGACAGCAAACACAGAGTGCAAACTCTTTAAATCTGACTTTTTTCATTGGCTCTTTTCTTGAGATCTGTTTTTCTTGTTTCGTCTTCTTTCTATCTTAAGCTGAAATGGAGCTTGTACAGACGCTAGTATACTTCTGTCAACTGCTCGGTAATTCATCACTCAGCCACACACATGTTTCTGTGTTCATACGTCAATGAACAAAAAGTCTCTTTCTTTCGTTAAACATACGTGGTGTCAGACGACCAAACACACATACAAACAGGGCTTTGTGTCCTTCAGTAGAAAATTTATTTTTAAAAAACACTCTATTTTTAAGTCATAGATCTCATTTAAATGCATTTTATTGCTAACCCAGTGTATTATGAGCACTTTGCATTGGTGAAACTCTCATTGTCCTACTGTGTACTCTCAGAACTATGCAAATGGACTCAGACTCTGGATGATAAACCCGGCTTGTGATGGTTATTGTAAAACTTCTTCAAGTTCCTGTGTGCTTTTCATGTCACCATGGACCCGGCTGTGTGCCTTTCATTAATCGACACATACTCATCGCATTATTTTGCAGCAACAAAATGGATGGATCCATCCAACACATCCATAATTTTCTTAAATGGTTATCTAATCCTGGGATGTGGGGCAGCTGAGGCCAGCCCTATTTGACTTTGAGCAGGAGACAGGCTATATCCTGGACATGTCACCATTCACACAACAAAACTGCTGCTCAAGAAGATCTACACAGGCATAGGGGGGCTGTGGAAACCCCACAAAAGAGTAAAACAGGAGCTGTGAGGTGCACAGTGGGGCTTCCAGATATGTCATTGGTGATATAATTGATATTTGATTTTGAATAAAAAAGTTTCTTGTTTCGACCTTCTATCACAGATATGCTTAAATATTGAAAAGTAAACAAATCAGATACACTAGAGCTTAAGAGGTCACTGTGATTGGTAAGCTGAGGTGTGAGTTGCTGCAGAATGGGCGTGTTGTGATTTGTGAGACGGCTGAGTGCACATGAAAGTGTTGCAACTGTCTCTACAGTGCTATTGGCAGACAGTAGTAATGCTGCTCCAGAAGCACTAGAAATCCAGCACTTAGCCTCCTCCCTGCCTTCCTGTCACAGCACACTTAATGATGCGTCAAAGATGTTTGAAATTGTCTCCAAACTTTCTCTGAATTGTTTCTGTGAGACTTTCTGTAATTGTTCAACTTTTACAGTAAACAGTGGAAGAGGGTTTTTCAGTCAAGCTGATGGAAACAATCAGAGCTTTGTGAGGTTTCTTTTCCTCCAAAAGAGAAAGTTTTCAGCTGTCGAGTAGTTTTGACAGAGTACCGTGTGCATCTGCATGGATAGAGATGCTGATGGGGATTCATGTTTCGCTTTATCATTCAAGAATGAGGAAATTCAAAGGAAGCTACACTGTGACCACTCCTCTCTCTCCCAGTCTGATTTTAATGTGTGCTGGGGCATACGGTGGTTGCACGACCTCGCTGTTCTATTGGAGCTCACGTTTGATGTTGATGTGCGGTGAAGGTGGAAAAATGGAGTTGTGCTGTACTTGTCATGAATGCATTTCTGTAGTCTTGTGGAATCCGTGGACGCCACAAGAAACGCAGTAACAAACAAGCTACTGTGTTTCGTGGAAGACTCTAAAATAGCAGGTTCACCTGTGGAGAGAATTACTTATAATTGCACAGGCTGGCCTCATTCTATCTCAAGTACTGTCATAATGTAGGTTAATTCTACTGGCATTACATTTATCATATATCACTGTAGCTTCCTGTTTGATGCGGCCGAGGACCCCACTGTTTCCTGCCTGCTTGTTAAGCAAAGACATATTAACCCTGTTTCAGCTGCTGTGCAGCTGATTGATTGATTTAACTGTCATTTCTATAAGAACTATTTGTCCCAGTCTTGCTGCTATGGCTCTCATGGGCTACAAGCGCCACAGTGTTGTGTTGCTTTATCTTTTGGTTTTGTTTTTTTATTGTAGAACATACAACGGGAAAAGTAACGAAAGGAAACACAAAGCAAAAATCAACACAATGACAGTCTTTGCAGTAGAGCATGTGTACTGGTGCATCATGCAGACAAACTATCCATGCCAGTAGACCGTGTGTGCACAAATATATTTAGTTGCCAGTTTATTAATATACAAATAGCTTGAGTTTACCCACTTAAATACAACGGTCCTGCAGTGACATGAGAGTTTCTGTTGAAACTGTTTCAGAGAGGTGTGGTTCTGTCTACATCCTGGAGGAGGAAGTTTGCAATGCTGTTTCCCTCATTCACTATATTTGGCAATATGCTTGAACCATATTAGAAACATACAACGTTGAATCCTCCAGGTGAGTTATTTTACTTGTAATGATGATTGTTACATGTTGCAATAGTGCAAGAGCTCAGAGACATCCAGTACAAAGGGCTGCTCAGGTGGCTGAAGGACAAGAATTGTAAAAATGAAAGCTGACATTTCAGTGTGACAACATGATGTTGAACGAATCATTTTTAAATAGATATTTCTTTTGCTGAGGGAATCCGTAGACACTTATCTTAGACATCTCTCAGATGTCTAAGCGAGGGCTGCAGGTCCCACCTGTGAGTCAGGCTCAGTTTCTAGATACAGAGAGTTTGATATTTATTAATCTTAAGTGATTGGCGAGTGCAGCCACATGTTAAAATTTATACAGCCATTAATATGAAATTCCGTTGTTACATGAACTTGTTTCCAGTGGGAGCTGAGCTCCCGCAGGCCTGGTCTTTGTCACCAGTTCTAACTTTTATGGACAGAATTTCCAGGCTTGTGAATGATGTGCTCCCTCTGGGTTATGTGAGCAGTGACCTTAACGTCACACTGGGGTGGTTTATAGTTGATATAGTTTGATACAGCGGGGACGAGAATTAGCACCCAAATCTGAGGCCACAGCTTTAAGTTGCTGCTCCAAAACGAGGAGTTGAATTAAACCTTTGATTTTACTGATTGATCGATGTTACTATTTTTACTGATGGAAACAAGGTGATATGTTTCTGCCATGTCCAAATGGAAAGAGACATCAGGGCAGACCAGGATGTGCTGGAGAGATGATGTCTCTGTGGCGGCTTCGTAACTTGTTTGTGTCTTTGCTGGGAGAACTGGAGTTAGTGGCATCTCTGCTTAGAGCAATGACCTCCAGTATGCTGGTGACTCGGCGAAGTGTTGGCAGCTCGTAGCAAAGCTGACTTTTAGTGTTTTCGCCAGTTGATTGTAGCAGATTTGGGAAAATAACCGAGGAAGCATGAGAATCATCTCTTTGTTCTCTTGTTCTTACTCTGACATCCCCGATTACAGAGTGAAATATAATGACTGACCAGCTTCTCTGTGACTGACCTTTCAGTGAACCATATCCAGAGCAGATGCTGGTGTTTCCTGTTGACTGGAGTTTCTGATTAACTGGTCAACCAGTGTGTGAGACAGATGTGTCGTAGGTGTGATTTATTGATGTTTTCAGCATGTCCCACAGACACCTTACTTGGCACTGGAACCAAAGCCTTAAACTCAGACTGCGTCCACACCAGCCCGGATAGATTTGAAAACTGCGTTTTCGTCTGAAAACGCTCCGCATCCACACTATCGTTTTCATTCGTTTTCACAGAGTTGTGCGTCCACATTGAAACGGCCGAAAACACTTACGTTCCAGTCCTGCGCAAGAAGATTCGACCTGCTTCATTTCTGTCTGTCGCTTACTTGCTTTCCGGCTCTTTGAAACGTCGCGGCAAAATGTTGAGGAAAAGCACCGAGTTTGTTAAATGCACCAACAATGAGGCGGAGTTGTTGCTGCGAGTAACACAAAAGTACAAAGGTCCAAAAGCGAGTGAGAATTAAAGAATTTGAAGAAAAGCTCTCAGGAGCATCTACAGACTGATGTTAATCTTTAGTAGGGCTGTCAAACAAAACAGCTGCTGTTTAATGCCCTCCGCTATCTTTGCTTATTTGGTCACATGACTGCATCACATGACTAAAATGCGTCATTGCTTTGGAAAGTCTACGTTTTCGAGTGTCCACACTGCGACGGGACAGCTCCGTTTTGAAATGTGTTCGTTTTCAAGAGTGTTTTCAAAACGCTGCGTTTTCCTTCGGGAAAACGGCATCAAGATGAGTTAAGTAACTTTGCACACTGGATGGTTGTTGGTGCCAGACAGGCTGGTCTATCAGAAACATCTCATCTACTGGGATTTTTGCAGCACAGCTTTCTCGGGGTTTGAGAGCATGAGCTGAAAAATGAGCCAAAAAAGGCAACAGTCACTCAATAACTGTTTATTACAACCGAGGCATTCGAAAGAGCATCTTTGAACACACAGCATGTCAAACCTTGATGCCTACAGCGGTCGGACACGCAATGAGGCGATACTCTTGTCAGCCAACACTAAGAAACTGAGGCTTCAATTTGCTCAAGCTCAAAATTTCACAATAGAAGAAAAATGTTGCTTCTTAGTACATTTCCAAGTTAACCTGGCAGACTTCATTACCTTCAGATGTTTAATTAGCATTAGGACTTGCGTGTGTGCTCTGCAAGTGTGTCTGACTCTATTAACTGGGGTTGTATTATAAAGAACATAAAACACTTTCGCCACAAGCGCACGACAACACACTCAAGTACACTGATGTACTGAACCTCTGACTTTAACATTGGTTTGTCTTCTCTCGTCGCAGGTGTCCATCTATGAACCTGTGAGGTCATAGCCATCTAACAGCAGCATCAGCACCAGAGGAGAGTTTACCAGCAGTGGGACCATGGACCTTAGATTTAGACGTCTGTCGCCTCTCACCAGGGCAGCTCTTCATCTCCTGCTGCTGGCCAGACTGGTGCTTCCTTCTCACACAGAGAGTGAGTCCACATAGCTCATAGCTGTGCCTACATGTTCACAGTTTTACTGTCAGCTAATATCCATTAGCTGACAGGAAGTGTGCACAGACAGCTTTCAAATGGAAATGTGTTATGTGACTGACATACAGCATCATTGCTCAGTTGAAAAAGCCCTTTGAAAAGCTTTGATACATGATTTCATATTTCACATTATGAAAGCGTCACACAGAAAGCTGACACCCTGTACCCTTTCCTGCGTTTGAAGGGCATTTTTAAAGTAGGACTATTCTGTTATTTTTTAGCTCCGCATACAATAAACTTCATGGGGCCCAGTTGTTACTGATGTCCACCTGTTTAAACCAGCTTTCTCCTGATCCACTGGTAAACAGAAGATTTGAACAGGAGGTGGATGGGCCTCCTTTGTCTGCGATGCCCATGTCAGGGATTTCCTCTTTATATTAAACCATAAAGTCAAGAGTATAAAAAACTATTAAAAAAAAGCATTAGAGCAGTGAAGCCTGTGATTTTGAGTTGGAGGGATTGTTTGTACATACGCTGACTTTAATGTTTAATATGAGCATGTAATAGTTTATATATAACAGAAAATAAGGAAAAAGGTTTTATTAACTCTTAAATGTGGGAATTTCCTTAAACATGCATTTTGTTTAATAGCAGGAAGGATTGCAAAAACAAATCTGGTTGCATACCAGAATTGTTGTGGCCGCTGTCAGCATGTAATAAATTTATAATAAGTAAAACTAAAAGTCCTTATTTGCAGCGAGAGTTGAAAAACAACATTTCATTTCCAAGTACCATTAAAATGAACTTTGATGGTGGTCAGAAAGTGCAAAATAGAGCAGTGATGTTGGCAGAGGACGCAATTTAAAAGAAAGAGTGAATGACTTCTTCCCATGCCCAATCTCCATCTCCACTTTCTGGGTTTTTTGCGTATTCAAGCTAAAGTAAAATAAAAAAATAGAAAAACAAACTGCAAGCATCACTCTGGCATCCATGTAACAAAAATCCAGCCCTACAACCTGACCTCACTCTTGAGTTTGCCTTGCGGTTTCATGCAGCATGACGTTCTCTTTTCAGCTGCCTTTAACAAACACCATTCCTCACAGGACTATTGTGTGTTGAATGTCAACCAGCTCGACTCTACCTGAGGCCAAATCAAAGGAAAACAAAAGGAAAGAAAGTGAGAAAGGGATCGAGAGATTGTGTGAGAGAAAAGGCCTGGGCCCTTTCTGTCTCTCTTAGACTGGTGAACTTATTCACACCTTATAAAACTTTTACAAACATCTGTTTTGCTTGGCTGGTGCATTTACTATCAAAGGCCTGCATAAAAGTATCCAGTAGAAGTGATAAAGTTTGACATTTGTTACAGCATCAACAGAACTCTAACCTTTTTCTTAATGATCCTATTTGTGAATAATAAATGTGTCTTGAGAAATCCATTTTTAATCATATAGCTCAAAGTCAGATCAATACTCATTTGAAGGCACTTTTTCTGAGGTAAAACCTGGATTACCACAGATATAAACCCAAACAATCTAAAGACACCCAATGAGCAAAAATATAGAAAGACGTTGTGCTAGGGCTGTTCGGTATAACGATATATATCTGATGTCGATATAAAAACGTCTATCGTTTCATTTTACGCTATCGTTTGTTTCGTGGTGTCGCTAAATAAACAGTTTTTGTTTATAAACCTGTTTATTTTCTCATTGTTCTGATGGTCACTGTAGTGGCTGTATTCAAGTTCTCTCTTTCTCTTATATGTAATATAACCACACTATGGACGGACAAGCGCCTGTTTTTATGCGTTGTCCTTAGCAACAACGACGGTAACACCTTCGCGTGTCCGCTTGTTTATGTTCCAGCTAAACCTTTCACAATAAAGCTCAAGATCCTGTTGAGACTTTTCAAAATAAACTGAATCACATGAAAGAGCAGATTATTTACTGATGAGAAGTAAAAAAGAGCCGCCAGGTGCTAAAAAATAAACCTTGGACTCAAATGTTAGAACAGGCTTTTCCCCGCAGCAGCCGTGTAATAAATACAAAGAAAACGGCGCCGTTACAACTTATGTCTAAAATGTATCGTTTCATGCATCGGTTAAAACACTCGACTCCAGCTACATGACAGCTGGAAACACTTCACACAAGTCGAGATTCACAGAATTTACAGAAAATGTTACATTTTTGTGATTTACATCGTTATCGGACGATAGATGTCTTATATCAGGATATGAGATTTTGGTCGTATCGCACAGCCCTACGTTGTGCATTTAAAGGCAATAATCATATTTGATTTGATTTACCTTTATTAGTCCCAGAAGGGGAAATTTCATAAGGCTGCCGACCTATTGCACGCAATGGCGGCGCCATCTTACCCTCCGACCATACATACATTACACAAACATCACATGGGGAAGACGGGTCAGAGAGGTATAACAATGGAAAATGCACCACATGAGGAAAGATAAGAAGAAAAAAATAACTCCCCCCAGACTGAGCTCCAACAGGGAGATCAGTTTGAGAACAGAAAAAACACCTCTGCACATGAAAAAACTCTTAATACACCAAAGAAACACATGACAAGCAGCAGGGGGGTAAAGGTGAGAGACAGCCGATGTAGACACATCCGGGCCTGCGTGCGCTGGTCTCCTTGATCCACCGTCAGCATCGGAAGGGAATAAGCGTCGAAGGCGTTTGGAAAGGGAGGGGGGATGAGTGCGTATCAGTGTATATGTGTGTGTGTGTCCAGAGTTCAGCTGAGACAGTGTCCTTCGCCCTGCCAGGCTAAGTAAACAGTCTTCCAGCCAACCCAGGTGGCCTTGCATGGAATGGGAAGGAACAGACTAAACTCAGTCGCTATCAATATAATCTGACAAGTATCCTGTAAAAAGAGCTTTACGTAAAAGCACTTATAAAAACGTATAATTGTTCTGATCACAGCTAAGGAAGCATGCTCGTAGAGATCATGGTTAAGACAGACATAAAAGCTTGTGCTGTAGAAGCACAAGCTCAAACCTCTACCTCATGTTTCAACTGAAAAGGCGACATTATGATTTAGTGGTTGACCAAAGCAGCAACTCCAAACGAGCCATTAAAAAACAACAACTATGGGAGGAACTGAGATGGTTGCTGCTTGGGTTAGCTGTTAGATTTGAGATTAGAAGACTAAAGGTTGTAGTCATTTAAAAAGATGTTGCTCTGAATTTAGCCAGAACATGTCTTAGCCTCACAAACGACTCCGGACTTTTTCATGGCCACTTAGATGTATCTACCCCAGAAAAAGTCTCCTTTTGTCTCCCACTAAAACATCCCTAAACAAGGTCCTCCAGTAAAAAGCGGTCTTTAGTCTACACCTATATTTAGCCCCAGGTACTTTCTGCAGTATATTTGTCCCACTCTGCACTAATGTCTAGGAAGAACATAAAAGGTCAACATTATTAAAAGCATTTCATTTGCAGAGGGGTCGTAGTGGGGTTTGGAGACTAAATAATGTTCTGCATGCACGGAGCAGACTCCACTTAATTTGATAATGGTTATGTTGTTCTTCCTTTAGAATCCTATTGAACCCAGTCATACATGTGTAATCAGCACAGCATTAGATCTGAGAAGGACAAAGGATGTAGAGGTGAAAGGTTAAGTAGGAACATTTGGAATTCTGTATCAGTCCAGTCATAAAGGGAAATGAGGCAGCTACAGTAACAGCATCAGAAAAATTACTAAACATCACTGCACAATATGCTGTACGAACTATGGCTTTGGAGATCTTCATCGATCTATTTGTAAATCTAAAGAGTTTCATGGTATGTTTTTGGATGCTTGGGGACAATAAGCAACATTGTACAGTGTTTCCCACAAGGCAGGGGGTGCAAAGGAGGTGATGCTTCCACATATAAATGACTATAATGCCATATCTTGTCACCTCACCAAATGAAACAGAATTATTCCAGTCACATGACACTGCTGTCACGAACCCTCTTCTGAAAGTATACAACATTTTTACACGTGTCAATTTACAGTCACTGTATTACAGAGTCAAGCGTGTGAGGCCAGCCAGGCCGTAAAGTTGAGCTCAGCAATAGTCTTTTCAGATCTGCAGATCTCCGTGCATCGAACTCGCAAATCTTATGATCAAAGCTGCTCTAACAAGTCACTTTCTCTGTATATTTCTGTGAAACAACCAGCGCATTTACTCACAGCTCTTACAGCAGCACAAAGACCCTGTTCATGTATGTCAGGAGACATGGTCTACATTTAGGCCAGGCAGGGGCAGGCTGATGCTTCGGAGGTCTCCGAGGCAGAGGAGGAGCTCCGTGGAGGGCAGTGTTTCTCGACAACAGGTTCATTATCAAGGCTATTTGCTTTATGGCTGCAATGAGCACATTTTATAATTTTCCTTTATAATTTGCAGATAGGAATTCATCAGCGAGCTGTGTCAGTAATTACCTTCCAGTGTGAGCACTCCGGAGAAAATGAGAATCATTAATTGCTCACAAAGAATTGAGATTTTCTCAGATTTTTAATGAAACCATATTAAAACCATTTAAACCTGATTCATGGAGTTTGTGTCAGAAATGGAAACCCTTTAATTCCCCCAAATTACCACTGAAATACACAAAAGTCATTTTACATGCTGCTGGAATCAACCGGCGCTCTCGATGAAGGAACTCACGATCTTGCCAGCTAACAAATTTACAGTATTTTATTTCACATCAAAATTAATGTGATATGTTTATTTTAGGGTTCAGTTGTAGGCCACAGTCGAATGAGTGGCACGGGTGTCGTTACGGTGATTGATGGAGCATCAGTCAAAGCTTTATGAGGAAAGTTACAGGGTAAAAACAAACAGCACCATGGCCTCTTCGTTCCATACTGTGTGCACTTCTGTGTATCATCAGGATGGTTTTAATAGCCATTCTTCTGCAATGTCCTATTTTAAACCTTGACTAATGATTTTTGGACATCATCATCTTTTTGCAACAAACAGAGAATAATAAACACACA